TTCATCAATAATACTTTATTGTAATATATTGGTATTTATATGTAATCTTTTATTTATATAAAAATAAATGTAGGTGTAACTTTAAAAAAAAGTTTTTGTGTGTGTGGAAACCGCACTGCTTATGAGTTGAATAATTAGCCTGCTATCCCTTTAGAAGAGACTTTAGTTGTAAAGGTATTCTTCTGTCTTTTAACCCCCAGTGGAGCTTAGGCCTTCACAAACTCACACTAAGCTGTTTGTAAACTTGTTCATGATTTTATTTGCAGCTACAGTTTTCTATGAGTTAAGAGTTAAGATCGACATCACAGCCCTTGGGACACTTCCATAGGCGTTCCCTCCCCATATTCAACATCAAGCACAGAGTTTCAATTCTGATGGTACTAGTAAAAGTCTGATTTTAAGTCCATCTCATCTCTCCACTGGGTGTTGAGCCAGGTCCCATCGTCACTTCTTAATGCACCCTAGTTTTTTGTTAGTTAATCATCCTTTCCTCACATAAGTCCAAAAAGTGCACAGATTCCATTTTCACTATCTCTCCCAGCTTGTGGTGGTTGATAACACCAGTTCTGCTACCTTTTATTGTTCATCTGTGGCTACACCTCTTTTGACATGAAGTTCTTGTAATGTTGTCATTCACCATCTTCTCCTGAATCATCTCCTCATTTTACCCTCTTGACAGCATTAAGAAAATTGAGTGGTTCAATGCTTTTCCTGAACCTTCTATGGCCCTGCCAGTAAGTCAGTCTGCTAATTTATTCCTTCTTACTCCAGAGTGTCCTGGTACAAAACTGAAACTGATTTTCTCAGAGACTCCAGTCATAGTCTTCAAACCTATCCTGTCTTGATCTTTAAAAGCTTGTTCATGTAATCAGAAAGCGCCCATGCAAAAACAGTCTGTCTCTGTCCAGGTTATTAAATTTTTTACCACCATTCCTGCAATATTTAGACTACTTCTAGTCAAGGCAAGTTTTTCTATGTGGTAAGGTAACCATTCTCATGGCAGTTTTTTCATATCCTGTTTATGGGCATCCTTATATTGCATCCACACAAGGAAATCTGGCTGGCGCTCAACACTAAGGGTAAAGGTGAGACAGATCTTCAATCAGACAGTTAGTGTTGCCATCAGAATTGGAACCCTTCGCTTTCACTGAAGAAGAGGATGGAGTGCTTATGGAGGGTGTCCTGAGTGCTGTGATGATTCTTAATTCAACTTTCAACATTGCATCCACAAGCTTCACACACCTTCAAGAGCATATAAACCATGGCAAGACAAGCACCTCATTGGCTCCAGGCTGCCCAGCTTAGGCTGGTTGTAGTTTTCTAGTGAGATACAATTATATTTCCCACCATCAGCAGAAGCCTTTGGAGCCTTGCTCTATTCCAGCTGAGCATTAGGGCAACAGATTGGACAAAACCAGCTATTTCCCAGTAGCAGGTTCCACCTGTCTACATCCCCAATGTTGACTAATGGAAAGGAAGCACCAATGCAACTTGGCATTAGTGCTGCCATTAGAGTTGCCAGAACCCTGTTGCTTACAATATGGAACTGCCCTAGAGACTCCATCTCTTTACTTTCCTGTATTTGGGTATATCAGCAGAGGTTTGAAATTTTAGAGTTTTCACTATTAGAAGAGTTACCAGTCAAGACTGATAAGCCTCTTCTGTCCAAAAATAAAAAAGGTAGAGAGTGTACCATTCCCCCCCCCCCCCTTCGGCAGTGACCATACTGGTCAAGTGACAGTGGCTATGGTCTCCACTGGGAGATCCTATGCTTGCCATCATCATTGACAAGATATCATAATCAGCAGTTATCTGTCAGTTGCTCCCAAGTTCCATCCACCACCATCTCACATAGCTTCACATTACCCCCAACTTAGAGGCTAAACAAGCATTACACCTAGCTTAACTGTGCCACAAATACTAGCAAAGGGAAGGGAGTTCTTTACTTCTCATTTGATAAGGGATATGCCTAACCTGGAAGTCACCATGGCGTAGCGGCTAGACACTCGCCTGTGGATCAAAAGTCGTGGGTTTGCTCCCTGGTGGAGCCAGACTTTTTTCAAAAATGGCCTTGACTCTCAGGTTGACCCAGCCTTAAGTGGGTACCGGGTGCAGTAATGGGAAGTAAAGGCAGTCGGCGTGATGTTGATCACATCACCCATCTTGTGCCGATTGGTCTATAAAAATATCGGTCTGGCCCTATATGCCCTATAAGCCTAAAGACGGGGAAAAGGGACTTTATATTTTTTTTTATTACCCCTAATCAGCTTCCTATCGTCGACACTGACACATATTTGGTTACCGTTATTTTCACATTGACTTTCCAGACATTTTATGTATGATTACTTTTTTTTTAATTGTGAAAAATTTTCTGAACAAATTGAAAATTGACATCACTGCACTAAGGACAGTCCAAACATTTTCTGCTCCTTTTCTAAGTAGCCAAAAAAATGTCCTATACTGATAAAAACTAGCATATGATAATAATGATAACTATTTGCTGAAGCCATGGAAATTTAGCTGTAAATAAAAATGTTAAAAATACATCTGTAATCAAAACAGAATAAGTTACATTTGTTACAGGAAGCTAAGACTCAAAGGAAATTTAATTATAACAACAAAAGACAAAGTAAACTAACAAAAAATCGTTCTCACATTATGAGATGAGAACAGCTGGAATAAATAGTAGCTGGCAATAAGCAAAATAATTACAAAACAAGTCCTGAAATGAGAAACTGACTGACTGACTGAGGAAACCCTATGAGCAATATTGATGAGAGTGGCTAGAGGTGGCGGACTTATTCCATAAAACAATAGTAAGGGGTTTTCCACAGATTTAGGTGTATGCACATATTGGGCTTGCACAGATATATTGCACAGATGTGGGGTTGCACAGATGGGTTGATGTGGTGGGCATGCACACCGGCCGGGTTTCACAGATGTGAAGGAACCCGCTGCAAGTCCTAAGTGATGTTTCAATGCTGCAATAAGATAGTAAATAATAAAGGATTCCTAATACTTTGCAGCACAATGAGTTGAATGTTGTTGAATGTTGAATTAAGAATCTATATCACAGCACTGGGGACACCTCAATAAGCGCTACGTCCCCATCTTTAGCAGCAAGCGAAGAGTTAAAATTCAGGATGGTACCAGTAACTGTCTGATTGTATATATCTGCCTTTCCCCTGAGTGCAGCATAATGAGTATCTGGTCATAGCTTCACATTTTTATGGAACAATTGGTACCTAATGACTGATGTGGCCTAGATTATCCCGACTGCCTTTACTTCCTTGAATATATCCTACTAAAATTAAAGGATTCCTAATACCTTGCAGCACAATGAGTTGAATGTTGAATTAAGAATCTACACCACAGCACTTGTGACAATTGAATGAAGTCTTATTTTCATGTTCTTTAAAAAAAAATGAGAAATGAAAAAAAAAAAAATTACAGTTAAAGATTGAGCCAATAACTGTCATGATTTGCTTATCCGTCTCGCCTTTTTAAAAGTAGCATAATTAGGATCCACAGTGACATTGGCTATTTTTAGCCAGCACAGTCTGGTACACTAATGACTGATGTGGCCTAGATTATCCCAGCTGCCTTTACTTACTTGAATATATCCTACTATAAATTTTTTTGAAACAACGATGTAATCCAATGTTGCAAGAGTCATTAAGAAGTGCTCATACCACTGCTGTGACAATTGACATCACTGCATATTGGGCAACTGAGCATGCCCTGGCTCAGATACCAATCATCAGTTAACCTGCAATGCCCTAGCATCATTTCTTTAACACCTTTCCGTCTTTTCATAGATAATTAGGAGCCACAGTGACATAATGGCTAGTGCTCTTGCTAGGTGAGATAATAGCCAGATCAGTCTCGCACACTGCAGCCATTTTATGAGAATGGATCCAATGTTGCCAGAAACGAGAGCTTACAACATGAAAGTAAAAACGAGGTATTTAGTGACCAAGAAGAAGATAGATTAAAAGAGTCACTGATACCTTGAGACTCCACAACATCACTGCATACTGGGCAACCAAGCCTGCCCTGGCTTAGACACCAATCATCTGTTAACCTGCAATGCCCTAGCAACACAAAGCAGAATATTGACCCCAAAACAAGACAGCTCTGGTGTTTACCTCATCATTATAGATACCAGACAGTTTTTAGATTGTTCTGGAGTAGTTGGGAAAGGAAAGAGTGAAACAGGGAACTCGTCACTGACCTCATATAGTCGCTAGTTGTTAGTCGAGGTTCTAACAATACTGCAGAGATGTCACCCCATAGCTGCTCCGTTCTATTACCAGAAGAAATCGACACAAAATGTTCATCACTGTCCCCAGTGGAAAATTTGTCACTGTCAGAAACATTGTTAAGCTTGCACATGTGAAGTAAAAATGCTTACGCTATTACCAGAGGAAATGCTTCACCTATGATTTGAGTGCAGTCAACAACAGCAACAAAACATTCTGTATGAAATCCACATCTCACAGTGTTGCAGCAAGCACTCAGTTCAAGGCCTGGGTGATGGAACCATTAGACTTCCAGTCCAGAAAGGAAACATTTGCATCAACAAAACCTAGCTTAAAACAAAGAACTTACTCCCTTCATATTGCATAGCCTAGAATTTATGGAGACCAAGACTTTTCTCTCCAATGGCATATTTACTCTATGACTACATTTATCTGTAACTAGATCATTAGTTTAGTTTGTTTTATTATAACTATATTAGCCAGAATAAAACAACCTTGGCTCTCAGGTCGACCCAGAATTGAATAAGTACCAGGTGGAGTCCTGGGAAGTGAAGCCTACCGGCATGATGCTGACCGGTGCAGCGCCGACTGGTCTATAAAATATAGGTCTAGCCCTTTATATCCAATATACCTGAAGGTGTGGAAAGGGTCCTTTACTTACTTTACTTAGTCAACATTCTTTTTTGTGCACATTTAATTAAACCTGTCTGTTTATTTTTGTGTATCCCAACTGTTTAGATTCATTTTGCCTTACAATATCTTCCCTTTGATAATGCTGTTGGGCTTGATGATATTAAACTAAGTGGATGCTCATTTGCAGGTAGGTTTTTTAAGTTGTTTGAGCTAAAATGTAGCAGTTCTAAACAATCTTATGAGAGTGACAACTCTTTTTTCTATCCTTATTTGCTTAAACAGTGGTCCAAGTTCTTCTTTTTCTTCTTTTTTTTTTTTTAGTATTACTTGGTGGTCCAAGTTTTTATTTTTTGTGTGTATGTACTCAAGAATGTTCTCATGATTTTCTGCCTCTAGACAAAATTTGTCAGACAGTAAATGTGATCCTCTTCATCGGAACTCTTCTGACCTTAATTCGAGGGCACAGAGATCCAGTTTCAATCCCCATATATGCTTAATTTTTTTTTTCCCACTTTTAGTTCTGAGGTCAACCTAGCTTCATAAATATTGGTACAAGATAATTTCCAGAATTTCTGGAAATTGTTGGGGAAAAGAAAGATGATGAAGAAGGGACCTGACCTAGAATGTTCTCATGATCATCTGCTCTAGACCATTTGTCAGAAAATGTGGTCTTCATCAACTCTACTGACGTGAATGGCCCAAAGAAACCAGACCACATGGCTTTATTTTCATAAATGGATGGGTGGATAGATGCATCAACTCTGCCGACGAGAACCAGACCCATGGCTTTATTTTCATAAATGGATAACACTCCCCAGAGTGCCAGCTATGTAACTACCTCTACGAAACTGTTGAACACCATCTCTTTGAGTGCCCAAAACTTAGCGAGACTAGAAGAATGCTACTCCCTCCGAGACCAGACAAGTGGAACATCTTGTACAGAGGAAAAGAACAGCTTGTGAAAAAATGCAAATTCCACTACATGGCATTGAGTCAAAGGTCGAAAGCTCATGTGCCGCTGGATCAATAACAACAACAACAACAACAACATAAATGGATGGGTGGATAGATGCATCAACTCTGCCGACGTGCATGGCCCAAAGAAACCAGACCACATGGCTTTATGTTCATAAATGGATGGGTGGATAGATGCATCAACTCACTCCCAATATGGGACACAATTTAAAAACAAAAATATTTTTCAAGCCCACCCTGGCTGTTATAGGGAACTCCAATATAACCAAAAAGGTTAAATGGGGTTTCTGAAGCTTGCACCTGGGGGATTCTTATCTGAATGGTGGCACCTTGTGTCATCCGATATTAATCATTTCTTGTGCCATCCTAGTGGTTTTGAACATCACTACAGAGAGCTGCTTGTGGCAAGAGTTCTACAAAAAATTATATTTAAAATTAGAAAACGTATCTGACTAATCCCATATCTACATCTAGTCACTTAGTAATTAAATTTAATTATCAAATTCTTTACAAAATTGCTAGTCCCAGCATTATTATACTCATGACTGAGGGATATAAAAGAAAATATATAACTACTAAAAATAAAATTAGAACAAAGAACTCACTCTGCATGTACTGTATGTGCTAACCATTTGCAGTTTGGCAATGAGTAGGTAGGACAGTCTTGTTTGTCTCTTCAGCTGCTGAAGCAAGAAAAGGAAGCATCCAGTCATTCTTCAAGGAAAATAAAAAATAAAATGGATCCAGCCCCTTTATTCCCTCAGGTTAAATGAAAATATGCTGGACAATTCTGGAGGGCTCCAACAAGCAACTCTTGCAGGTGTGTGCAAGGAAGTGGTGGCAAATAAAAAATTTAATTCGCCAACATCTGCAAGCTTTGTCTATAGGCCAGTTACACTAGAAAAATAGGCTTGAGAATCAGCTTTATACACATGCCGTAATTGTAACTGACTTACAGAACATGTTGTGAAAGGTGAAAACAGGCATGCTTCGTGCAGAGTGGCAAGCATCACTTCAGAGGTCCCGGCAGTTAGCATCCTTTGGGTATGTTCTCCAAGATATGCCAGTGTGTTGGTAAATGAACAGACAGATAGACATGCTGGCTCTGCACTACTTGGTGGTGAATTGATGTATGACAAGTTAGATATTGTGAGGACCCTTTATGAATGAGTGAACAGTGCCGAGGTGCAGATAGATCATTATGGTCTGAGGAGAATGGTGCTGCAAGGAGTAACCAGGGGATCTGACTGACGCTCAACACTCAGGGAAAGGATGAGACGGATATACCATCAGGCGGTTACTGGGACCATCCTAATTGGAACTCTTCACTTGCTGCTGAAGAGGGAGACTGAGCACTTATTGGAGTGCTGTTATGTCGATTCTTAATTCAACATTCAACTAGAAGAATAGATGCTAGTGCTCATACAAAGCATCTAAAAAGAAAAGAGATCCCGGTAGTCACCACAAATTGTCTATTACAGTAACATTGCAAAATATAGAGCCCAGAAAGATACCGCCAGAAAATGCCCTAAAATAATACACCAATGAGACAAAAGTTCCTATGAAATGAAAATGTTAATAATAAATGCATGTTAAGTTGGCAAATACTGAATTAGTTAATCAGTGTAACTGAAAATCGGTTCCACTTGGCAGATTTGCTGTTTGTTACAGAGTGGTGCATTTATCTACATTTCTTATAATAAAATGTGGATATCTACAATAGTACATTTAACTATTTCTTGTACCAAAACACAGATATCTACAGTGGTACATTTAACTATTTCTTGTATCAAAACTCAGATATCTACAGTGGTACATTTAACTATTTCTTGTATCAAAACTCAGATATCTACAGTGGGGCATTTAACTACATTTCTTTTATTAAAATGTGGATATCTACAATAGTACATTTAACTATTTCTTGTACCAAAACACAGATATCTACAGTGGTACATTTAACTATTTCTTGTATCAAAACACAGATATCTACAGTGGTACATTTAACTATTTCTTGTATCAAAACACAGATATCTACAGTGGTACATTTAACTATTTCTTGTATCAAAACACAGATATCTACAGTGGTACATGCCCAGGCTTGCTGACATGTCTACGCACCGGTGCATGTATTGACAATCCTGACAAGTTCTGTGATTTCACTGACAACTGTGGAGATTCCACTGATGAAGATCCAGATTTCTGCAGTAAAATTTTTACTTTGATATTTTTTTCTTCCTTATCACTTTCACCAGCTGTAATCTCCAGTAGAAAGTCCTGGATGTTTATTTACTTCTGGACTTTTGTCTTGCTCTGGACTGGAGTTTTTTTGTTTTGTTTTACAGATATGGCTTATTTGTGTGCAGCTGTTGGTCACTTGCCACTAATGCAGATGCACTCCATCTCTAAAGGGAAACATCATTCCTGTCTACATTGGCTAGAATCCCAGTTGGAATCCTATTTCTAGGATAACCAAGGAGATGTGTAGATAGGTTAAAGGTTAGATTTGAGAGAATTGACTTTATTGCACTGGGTTTTGTCCCATATGGCTCAGTCTCTCTGCAGAATGGCTAGCCACCTGCCGAGAGCACGACACAGAGCATGAACTCGTTAGCTGCAGAAACAATCCCTAGGGATCTCCATAAAAATTGCACTTGTGAACTGAAGGACGCAGCTGTGAAATGAGCCCATGACCTTCAGAGCGGGAAGCAAATGGCTTGACCACTTCACCACGGAGACCCCTGAGACGTGGATAGGTAATGACCAGTATGAGCCCTGGTCTTGTTGCATCTCTATGTGGGGTTCTGCACTTCTTCTTCTTCTGCCTTTCTATTGGCATTGGCCCTCAACCAACTCTTGCCAAGCCATGTCCTCTCCATCCTTTTAACTTCACTCTCTAGCACCCTTCTCCATGTTTTTTTTCTCCACATCTGTTTAACTTTGCTATCTAGCACCCTTCTCCATGTTTTTTTTCTCCACATCTGTTTAACTTTGCTATCTAGCACCCTTCTCCATTTTTTGTGTGGGTCTTCCTGCATGTCTATACCTCTGTGGGTTCCAGTGCAAAGACATTCTAGTTATATTGTTTTTTAAGGTTTTCTCAGCATGTGTTCTATCCAGGGCCAGCATCTTTTCTTCACCTCTCATTCCACTGGAATTTGTTTAGTTTTCTGCAAAGCTTTACATTAGTAATTATATCATACCATTTTATTGCCTTTAATTCTGCACCTCTGCATCCCACTTGAATATTCTTTAATTGTTGTATTTCCTTATGTGTTACCTGGAAAGAGGGGGGGGGGGGGGGGGGGGGGGGTGGAGACAGGCAGGCTGAAGGAGAAATTCCAGAGAAATTTGACTAAAAAGCTCAACAAAATGGGAAAGAGGAAAACGTGCACAAAACAACACAACGTAACGTTTTGACCGAGGAATGAAGAGTGTGTAGATCCCTAAGGGGTGACGTGAGCGACGTTTAAAAACATGTGATGCAGAATAAATGAAACAAAAAAAAATAAACGATGGCTAAAAAATATAGTCACAATACTGGGAATAAAAGAAATACAAGTGTTAATGATACATAAATGATAAGAAATAGAATAAAATAATAATATGAAATAAAATAAAATAATTAACATTTAAAATGTGATAAGATTAGAACTATTTAGATGAAGGTATATTGGATATTGATACCACTTGGACTAAGAACGCCAAGGCTGTGGATAAGGTGATTTTCCAAAGCGAGGCGGGTAGTATGATCGCCAGAGCAAGATTTTAATGCTGTGATAGATATGTCATCTTTACCGCTGTGGTCAGGGCTATTAAAATGATGAGGGATTGGTTTGAGTCTCTTCTTGCCGATATCGGAGGCTGAAGGAGACCCTGAAGGAGTCACACAACACACGACACACACAACACACACACCACACCATACACACACATACATAATGAAAGCCATACATTTATCTCAAAACGTAATAAATTATATGAATTTCAACAACTCTGTGCATTTGTTATCTCTTCTGTTTATTAATGATTATTTGTTCATCTCTGAAGCAATCAAAGAAATGTCAAGACAACCACTGGTATCAATGGTTAAGAGACAAAGAAAATGGGCCTTTATTGGGCACACCCTTAGAGGAGCAAGCAGAGAATTACCACAGACAGGAATATCAATGGGAAACAGTAATGAGCATGTCCAAAATCCTCAAATGAGTATTGCCAAAGGTGCTGGACTGAATTCCATGTGTGATATCAAAAGGATTGCACAGAACTGAATGGAGTTGAAGAATAGACTGTGAGCCCTATATGACATATACCAGCACATCATGATGATGATGATGGCAATGAACATGTAACATTCAAAAAGCAGTCTCTTCTGTGGGTTTTCCTTTATCTTAACCAACATACTCAGATACATAGAAATAACAACAGTATTATAACTGTCTGTGGCGGGAAGTGACGTTTCAGTTACTCAAACATAAGTGTTTTCCTGTAATGAATTTAAACAGCGATAATGTAACTCTGTTATGGTAGTTGCTGTGAAGTGGCTAGACATCCGCCAGTGGATCGGAAGGAAGGTCGTGGGTTCGGGTTGTGATGAAGCCAAGCTTTTTTTTTTCAACAATGACCTTGGCTTCCAGGTTGACCCAGCCTTGAGTGAGTCCTAGGAAGTAAAGGCAGCGGATGTGACATTGACCACATCACCTACCAAGGGCTGATTGGTCTATAAAATATAGGTCTTGCCCTTTAAGCTTAATATACCTGAAGACATGGAAATGGGTCCTTTTCTTTACTTTTATTCTTCTTCTTATTTTGTTTACCACATTGTACCTCAGCGAAGTGTCAGGGGAGATGTAAGGTTGGTTGATGAGCTCTGTCAAAAGTACTATTAAGATTGATGTTCATTTATGTAAAGCTGTTCTTAATGCCATCACTCAATATTTTCCGAGGTCTTCTACTCGCTCTATACCCGTTGTAACATTTCAGTGTGGCTCGCTGTGGTAAATAGTACCAGGGCATTCTTGTTAGGTGTCCAAACTACTTCAGTTGTTGTTCTTTGATGACCTGTAAGATTGGCTTTATTCCTAGCATTTATCTGATTTCATATTCTGTCTTTCCTTGAAACTCCTGCAGCTCTTCTAAGGCATTTAATCTCTGTTGTAACAATTTTTACATTCATTAGAGGATGTAAGTGTCCACATTTGACACTGGTAGCTTAGTGTTGGCCAAAAAATAGTTCTGATAAGATTCACTTTAGTACTCCAGGGTATATGCTTGTGTGTCAACAGGGAAGATAGTTGCCCCTTTACTTGATTAGCTTTTATTACTCTATAGAAATGCACCTGTTTATATACCGCAAAATCTGCCTGGCAATAAATTGTGCAATGTATTGCTTGTGTCCACATTATTTAAATTATTATAAACTATTGATATTGTAAAATCTGGTTCTAGGAGACTATTTAATGGATGACTGTGAAGAAAGCTTAGGCGATTGGTCACAAGATGACAAAGATGACTTTGATTGGTCCAGACACTCTGGAAGTTGGGTCAGCAGTGGACCAAGAAGAGACCATACCCTGGGAACACATTTTGGTCAGTAGCTGCACATATATTTCTTTGTTCATCATCATTATCATGAACCACTTCTGTTGTTTAGCTTGATGGGGAGGAACAATTTGTGATTCAGGACCATGAAGTTGTAAAGTGTCATGGTTGTTTTATGTCCATGAGTTGATTATCATAAAAGGTGATACATGCATAATCAATACTTACTACTTATTAGAGTACTTAATTAAATCTCAGATGTGACACCCTGGTAACACTTACATGAATTAGCCAGGACCCCACTGAAATTCCATTTTAAAAGTCCTTTAAAAAAAAATTATTTGAGACAGGTCAGTAATAAATTAGTTTATAAATATATCAACATTTCTTCTTCTTCTTCGTGTTCACTGGCTGTAAACGCCTGTGGAAAGTTCTGGTTGTTTGTACATCTCTAGACTTTAGTCTTGTTTCAGAACCTTAGTGTCGCTTGCACATCAGTTTAACAGATCTGACTTAATTGTATGCAGATTGTTGGTTCATTGCCTCTCAGGCAGGTGCTCTCAAGCTTCAAAGGAAGCTCCCAATTAGTCAACTTTTACAACATGCTTGATAACATTTTTTTTATATGAAGATATATGAAGAAAGTAATCAATAAATATTAATGGGTGAAGCATTAAACAGAATACATTCCCTGGGGCCTGAAAAAAACATTTGTATCAAGTAATTCATGACCGTGACCTCTATAATCGAAACAATTGGAAAATTTGACATCAACTTGGCTTTAAAAGAGCTATTTGGTTCCAATAGAAACCCCCTTAAATGCTAATTTTAGTAAAGCAGTTGTATCATGACCTCCTGAACGTTTGCCAGGCTGAACACAGCCAATAGCATTAACTATGCGTGCTATAAAAAGGTGACTATAGACAAGTCAAAAAAAGTGACATTTACAGGGAATGGGCCCATCTGGAAATGGCAGTTTTGTGGTTTATTGAGGCAAAAGGATTAAAAGAACCACTTTATGGTACATACGGAATTTATTATTGATACCTCTTTTCCAGGGCATTATCTCATTTTTGAAGGTGCAACTCACACTGAAGGACAGATAGCCAATCTTGTTAGTCCAGAATTTTTGCCAACACAGGGAGGTGATTGCAAGGTCAGGGAGATTTCATTTATTTCATCTATTTTTAACCACTTTGTTAACTATTCAGAAATTTGACATTTCTACAGTATTTTAATATGGTGCAAGTTTAAAGATCAGTTATTTCCAGATTTTGACTAAACTAGTGTTATACTTGATTATAAATCACCACTGATCACTGGCATCATGAGAGCTAATTGACTGAAATGTTTGGGACATACTGAAAGAATGTCAGATGACAGAGAAGTAAAAAAAACACCAGGGAGATGAATGGTCGTAGTCCCCAAGGGAGACCAAGAAGATGATGGAGAGATAATATCCGGACAGACCTGCAAACACTTGGTATTACCAACTGGAAAAAGAAGGCCAACCAGAGAGATGAATGGAGGTGGGTGATATCTGTTGAAATGAACCTCAAGGGCTAGGAATGCTGAAGAAGAAGAAGTATGCAATTGGAATATTTATTCCTCACGGGATGGCAAAAGACATTCTGTGTGGTTGTAGCAATGGACATCCTGTGTGGCTGTAGCAATGGACATTCTGTGTGGTTGTAGCAATGGACATCTGCATAGCTGAGGTAATGGACATTCTGCATGGTTGTAGCAATAGACAATCTGTGTGGTTGTAGCAATGGACATTCTGTGTGGTTGTAGCAATGGACATTCTGTGTGGTTGTAGCAATGGACATTCTGTGGTATTGTACAAATGAACATTCTGCATGGGTTGTAGCAATGGACATTCTGCGTGGGTTGTAGCAATAGACATTCTGTGTGGTTGTAGCAATGGACATTCTGCGTGGATTGTAGCAATAGACATTCTGTGTGGTTGTAGCAATGGACATTCTGTGTGGTTGTAGCAATAGACATTCTGTGTGGTTGTAGCAATGGACATTCTGTGTGGTTGTAGCAATGGACATTCTGTGTGGTTGTAGCAATGGACATTCTGTGTGGTTTTTGTTGGTAAAAGAACACAGCAGCTAGTGGTGACCTGTTTGGTTTGATGTGGGAACTGTGATTACTTGATTATCTGATGTAAACCCTTCTCTGCATGCTTCAGTATTTACAATCAACAGTTGTATCTACCTTATCAATAAAACATAACATTCACTTTTACAAATCAACAAGTGCGGACTGGTCTATAAAAAATATAGGTCTAACACTACATGACAATGCACCACAGGCTTAAGAAGGGTCCGTTGAGATCTTTTAAATGCCTCATCTCCTCTCACAGACCAGGCAATGAGAATATTTACAAGGAACAGTGGTATCTACCATATCAAGAAAACATTACATTCACTTTTACAGATCAGATTCTACTATTATATGCACAGTTCCAACAAAGGGCAGCTTACTGTGTATGTACGCTCAAAGATATCTGGTCACAAGCAACAAATTGACCAGTACATGACTACACTTCAGGACTCATGGCTGTTCGGAAACAATGCTTTGACTTCAAATGAAAGTTTTCAGGTAAATTTGTTTTGTTTCTTTTTCTTCTGTGTTATCCTATAAAACTCAGATTAGAACTTTATGTAGGGTTTACAGCCAGGCTGTTATATCTGCATTTTTTGTTTCTCAACCCAACGATCCGGTTCCAGCAAACTCTTAATTAACCACCTTTTATGACATGTTAGTTGATGTCTGTGGCTTAGGTGTTGGGAACGTGCTTCTTCTTGCTGGGTTCGATCCCATCCCATCTCGCAATGGCATCGACAGTGGTACCAAGAGCTGATCATTCAGAAAACAATGGCAAACTACTGAACGTAAAATTTGCCTTAAAAAAAAATAATAACAGCCAGAAAATGCTGGGGTTGGTTCTGCAAGGTCCTGAAAAGGATTTACAACTGACTTCATGACATGTTAAAGGGGGCAGTGGTCTACTTTGTCCCCAAATCCCCCAAACAGTGCCCCTGAAACCCTCACGGGGAAGGTACGCAGTTGCACCGGGCAGTTGTGTGTTAATAGAGTTCATAGAGAAGACAAGAATAACAATGTAACCTACTTGAACGTTATAAGAGGCACAAGAATTGGCTGGTATAGAACTGGCTACTTTATTGCAAAGAAAACCTTAGCCGCAAAATTAAACTAATCGTGAACAAGGGTAATCTATAAAGAGCTTACACAGAGTTTGTTCAGGGCCTGTGCTTCAGGGAGAGATGAAATTCAGAAAAAGTAAAGGGGAAGGAGGAAAAGAAGAAAGTAGAGGAGAAGAAGGAAAAAAAATATTTAAACTTTATTGAAAAACATCCCCGTGTGGATTCTGGGGTCCTATTTGTGGAGAAGAGGGGGGGGGGGAAGACCCACAGCCCCTTAACAAGCATGTTGTAAAGGCAACTAATTAGTTCTGTTTGCTTTGAAGTCAGAGTGCATCTGCCTGAGAGGAGAGGAAGCAACAGTCTGCATGCAAATTAGCCAGATCTGTAAAACAGAACTGCACACAAAACTTAAATCCTGGAACTAGACCAAAGTCCAGAAGTGGATAAACAACGAGAACTTTTCGCATAAGTTTACATCCAGTGAACTTGAATGTTGAATCAACATCACAGCACTTGAGACCCCCCCCCCCCCCCCCTTATAAGATCTCCATCCCCATCTTCAGCAACAAGTGAAGAGTTCCAATTTTGATGGTACCAGTAGTTGTCTGATTGTATATCCGTCTTGTCTTTCCCCTTGAGTGTTAAGCGTTGGCCAGATGCCCTGGCCATTCAAGAATGTAACTGTTTTGTGCCCATTTTCAGAATGGCTGCAGTATTTGCACCTCTTTGCTGACACATTTGACTTCTTTGGGTTTAGTTCCCCTGTTTATCCTTTCTCTACTTTTTAATTCTTATAGACAAATACTAGTGGTATCTCCATGGCAAAGTGGTCAAGCCATTAGCCTTGTGCTTTGAAAGTCATGGGTTCATTTTATGGCTGAGTCATTCAGTTCATAAGTGCAATCCCTGGGAATCATCGCTGAAGCTACAGGGTTCATGCTCTGTACGGTGCTGTCTGCAGGCGGCTAGCCATTCTGCTGAGAAAGACCAAACCATACTGATGAAACCTGGTGCAATGAAGTTGATTCTCTTGATTGAAACCTTGAACCTTTTTTATTTAGACAAATACTCTCACTATATTAATATCTGCAGGTTGTGTTTGAAGGCAAAGTTGTAGGGCAACACTCAGCTGATATTGGCCTTGATGATATCACATTCACACCGCAGTGTTATCTAGGCAACACCTGTGAGGGTTTGAGAAAATCAATGTTTTAGTTCACCTCTTACTCTGACTTCAACTTCTAAATGTTTTTTGGATGTATTCTGTCTTTTATTTGTTAATTACTGCATTTTCCAAGAGTTGGTTTTGGGACCCCATTTTGGGGAAGAAGAACAAACCTACCTCCCCCTCCCCCATTTCCACCCCCAACAGATATGTCTTAGGAGGAAACTCTGGTCCCATGAAGTTTACAGCTGGCGAATGCAAAACAGAAAAAAAAATATTTACTGCATTTATAAATGAGCATACATTGATTCAAATTCTGAAGGTACTTTACTGACCCCATTAGCCCGGCTCATTAGCGTAGTTGGTTAAAGCTGACTTCGCTGCGACCGGGTGATAAACTCCATGTGGTCTGGGCTCACGTCCGGGGGGTAGGCAGAAAAGCCACATTTCTCCCAGATTCACGGGTTCTATCATGGAATCAAGGCTGAAGGGTTTCGATATCCATAGTACCGAGCCAAAGGGTTAACAACTCATTGTTTCTGGATACTTGAAAAAAAAAAAAAAACTGACCTCATTACACTGTTTCGTGGTATGGGACGTCGCAGGTCGACCCAGCCTCAAATGGGTACCAGGATGGGCTGTCCTGGGGAAGCAAAGACGGCCGGCGTAATGCTGACCACATTACCCACCGAGTGCCGATTGGTCTGTAAAAATATGGGTGCTCTTCCCATTTGCCCGATGCGCCTAACGGCGTGTAAAGGGATCTTTACTTTTTTTTTACTAGCATGCTTAGTGCAGACTCTTTGCTCACTGCCCACTGATTCAGTATTTTGAGATATGGCACTGTCTAAAGGTTAAAGTTCAAGGTTCAGGTTGAGAGGATTGACTTCGTTGCACCGGCTTCCACCTCATATGGCTCGGTCTCTCTCTCTGTAGAATAGCTAGCCACCTGCAGAGAGCACCACACAGAACACGAACTATGTAGCTTGTAGCCTGAGAGGCAAAAAACCAACAGTCTGCATACAAATAAAATAGATCTGTTTGCAAAATTCAAGTTCAAGACCAAGACCAAAGTCCAGGAGTGGATGAACAGCCAGAACTGTTCTTTCAGAGTTTACAGCTGTTGAAGACTAAGAAGAAGTCAGTTTTAAGGCTTGAACAACGGATCAACATCATGGCACACCGGCAGTAACCCATAAGTGCTCCGTTATTCTTCTTAATCAAGTCTGAGTCCGAAGAAGCTCAGCACAGTGCACAGACGCTGTAGCACCGGCGAGGATCCTATGCCGCTGAGGATTTTTACGTGCGCCACAATGCACATGGGCGTCCGATCTCACTACCCAGAGACCAGGGGGAACTACTAGAAGATCAAATCCACATGAAAAAATCCCAGCTCTTACCGGGGATTGAACCCAGAACCTGTAGCGCTTGAGGCAGACACCATGCACCGGGAAGTAGAGGCGGCCAGCATGATGCTGACCACATTACTCATCTTTAGGCAGACACCATGCCTCGAGACAACGCAGCCCCCTAAAAAACAAAAGAAGAAGAAAGAGGAAGAAGGAGGAAGGAGACTACTGATTCTCAAACCACTGTAATATTAACATTGATATTTTCTATATTTTAGCCAGGAGTCACTGTGGTGGAGCGGCTAGACACTCACAGGGGATCGGAAGGTAGTTGGTTTGCTCCCTGGTGGAGCCAGACTTTTTTCAAAAATTACCTTGGCTCCCAGGTCGACCCAGCCTTGAGTGGTTACCGGGTGCAGTCCCGAGAAGTAGAGGCGGCCGGCGTGATGCTGACCACACCACCCATCTTGTGCAGACTGGTCTATAAAATATAGGTCTAGCCCTATATGCCCTATACGCCTTAAATCAGGGAAAAGGGTCCTTTATTTTTACTTTTTCTATATTTTAGCCGGTATCATACCAGGAACTACAAAATTAATGTCAACTACTAAACCTAATGGTGCAACAACGAAGCCAGGAATGGCTACCAGTCATGGAGCTACAACCCAGATAGGAATTGTCACTACTGACCACAGGCCTACAACCAAGATGGGTACTGTTACTAACCAAGGGTCAACAACCAAGACTACAAGTCATAGTACTACAACTGAGCCAGCAATGACCACTGTCCTTAGTTCTACAACTGAATATACTGTTACATTTAAGTCTCACGCTACAAGTGAACATGCTGCTACAGGAACACTTCCACATGAGGCAGGCACTGCTGCTGACAGTACAAGCTCAGGTAAACAAACCAGCATTGTTTACTTATTATTTTACTTTTTTATTACTTTGTTTTTTTTTTAGTTGTAATGGTGGTTGTGTCTCAGTCCTTAAGAAAGAGAATAGAGGCTTTTGAGCTGAAATTCTATAGAAAGATTCTTAGAATATCTTGGACAAAGAAGAGGAGAAGTACTGACATCTTGAAAGATCTGAACATCAAGGAATATTGGCTAATAAACAGCATCCTGTCTCAGAAGTTGAAATATTTTGGTCAGATCAAGCGCAACGACGGATTGGAAAAAATTATAGCAGAAGGCATGGTACCAGGAAGGAGGGGGCAGGGGCCGACTGACATGAAGATGGGCACAGGATATAAGTGACCCCTTGAGTATGAAAGTACATGAGCAGGGGAACTGGCGAGAGACAGAGTTTCTTTCAGGCAGAGTGTGATGTGAGTGATGTTCTGCAAAGGACCTGCTACATGATGATGATGATGGCGGTTGTGGTGGTAGTGATGACAGTGAAAAATGGTGAGGAAAAGATGCTGGCATTAGATAAGACAAACGCTGATGAAACTTAATAACAAAATAACTAGAATGTCTTTGCAACACACTGGGCTCCCAAGGTGAAAGGAATAAAGGCAGATCAAGAACACGCAGAGAAAAGAATTAGACAATGAAATGAAAAAGATATGGAGGACATTGGGTAAGCTACAAGCGATTAAAAAATATTGATACAATGGCTTGGCATGAATTGGCTAAGGGCCTATGTTCCACTGGGGACTAGACGGAGAAACAAGGCAGAAGAAAGAAAAACAAACATGAATAAAAGTTTATACCTGTGCTAAAAACATATAGTTTCTAGTTAGTGGAAAGTTTCTTTAGTAAATTTAGTAAATTAAAACTGCATGTTTTTGCCAAGAATTTTGTATGTACAGTGCATAATTCAAGCATAATTTGTTCCAGAATCATACTCGTTAAGCAAAACACTTGTTATGCGAAACAATTGTTTTCATATAAATTAATGTAAAATACGATAATGCGTTCCATGTCCAAAAAAAAAAAAAATACTCACAAAATGCTATGTATAACATTTATTCAAAGAAAATTATATACATATTGTTAAGGAGAGTGAATCATCTTCATCTTTTCTTCAAACGTGGAACGAACCCACCTGGAATGCAAATTCAATTTGCAGAAAAAAAAGTCAAAATAATTATGATACATAGCTAATTATTTTTTTTTACTAGAAAGATGTCCAGAGACATTTGTTTTTGCAGACGCTTCAAAATTTAGCCAAAATGCGACACAGCATTATCATTAAATAAATTTGCAACGCGCATAGCCATTTCCTTATTAGGGTGATGCTTCTCAATGTAAGATGCAACAGTTTCCCATGCTTTCAGCATTTCTTTTATTTCGCCATAAGATTGTTGCTTTTCTGTTACCTCCTCCTTCTCCTCTGACAAACTTTCCTCCAAAACTTCTTGCTGTGAAACACAATGCAACTTCATAAGCTCTTCGGTGGTCAGCTCTTGACTGTGCTCTTCCACAAGCTCTTCGATATTGCTGTTATCCACCTCCAATCCCATGATAGTCGCCAAAGACACAATCTCTTTGACTACAGGTTCCACAGGTACTGTCTCGAACCCCTCAGTCACAAATCGACAAGCCTCTCCGGCCAAAGCTTCTTCCAAGCAGAAATTAGGGTTCTCTTGGTAACCCCTTCCCCCGCCTTGTCGATCATCTTGAGTCAGGCAACGATGAGGAAGTGGTTTTTCCAAAACTCTTTGAGAGTGACGTTGGTCCCTTCAGTCACCTGAAAACAATGCCCGAAGAGTGATTTAATGTAGAGCTTCTTAAAGTTAGAAATAACCTGCTTGTCCATGGGCTGAAGTAACGGAGTGGTGTTGGGAGGCAGAAACTGGATCTTGATGAAATGTTCTTCAGAGAGGTCATCTTGTAGGCCTGGAGGATTCATTTACATTTATGACAATATAACACAAGTTTGAGAAAATGTGTGATAACAAGCGACACTACGATGCTACTGGAACGAGTGCTAAACACAGACTGATGTAACATGTGCACAATTCGGGACTTCTTCTCTCCTCGCCACTCGTTATGCGAAACGTCGCTCGTTTAGCAAGTCATTTTTTTACAATTTGTTCAGCTCATTATGCGAATTACTCATTATGAGAGGTGCTCGTTAAGCGAGGTTCTACTGTACTTGTAAATTGATATTTACATGAGTTGCACTCTTTCACACTTCCCAGTGATAAAACTAACAAAACCCATTTTCTAGCAGACTCATGGAGGGTGCCCGTTGGAGTGGTGCTAGGACTTGTAGCACTTGGCACAGTCATTGCTGGTGTTGTCCTCTATTTGAAGCGCATAGGCAGATTGTAAGTCCCAATTTACATTCTGAATATTTTCTTTTGAAATTTACATGCAGATGTTAAGCTCTGTTTATACATTCTGAATAACTTATAACATAAACCTCTTTATGGTGCAGGCTATCCACAGAATTGGTTTCTAGACTGGATAACATTCAAAGGATTACTATTCCTCTCTGCGGTGAAATTTAAATATTGGTCAAGCACATAGTAGCAGTAATTTAAAAAACAATATCATATTCAAACCATTCGGTTATAATTGGGACATGTCATTTTTTTTTCTTTTTTCTTTTTTTCTTTTTCAGTAATGGAAATTTATACCTATCGGTTATGTTTAGTTAGTGAATATTGAATTGCTTATGTATTAATTCTAAAAGACTGTAGGAGTGTAGATTAAG